CCCCCCCCCCCCCCCCCCCAAAAAAAAAAAAAAAAAAATGCCGAGAGACGCGTGTCCAACTCCGTCACCGCTGCCATCTTTGTGTCGATTTGGGAGAAAAACACCAGGCTCAAACAGCGAATGGCAAACCGTGCGACTGCTCTCCCAACTGAACTACCTAGCACGGGCCACTGCAGTGATTTGATAATCGGAAAATGTTGAAAAGAACGTAAGTTTTTGATTTCATTACCACGTGTATCCTATGTCCTCAAATGTCCTTCACCTTTTGATATAGAAAGCGGAAGCAGGTAATCGGGAGGTGTAAAAGGCACGCGACTGGACGGTAACACATTTTGTTGTTTTTTCACCACTGCACAATGAATTTTTAAAATTGAATGAAAGGCACATACAGCACTCATGGATGACCAGATCGACGATCAGGATGGGCTGATCACGTTTGAAGATCTTGGAAAAAAGAAGAGAGAAGCTACGGCAGAGACGGTCCTAGGCAAGGTGCGTTTGCATTGTATATGACGCTATACAATGATATTTCTATCTACTATCTGTGAGCATTGTAGTGTAGTGCACATGAAAAGTATTTTACATACACGTTTATTTTCTCCCGTTGGTGGTCTTCCTTATCTGGCTAGTATATCACATTGGTTTATACGTATTTAAATTTAAATACAGAATAATGCGAGCTTTAAAAAGGTCTTCAAACGACACACATTGAATTTTAATTATTATTATTATTATTTAAAAATTGAGAGTTAAAAATGTCGCATTCCCCTTTATTTAAATCAAATTGTTTGTCGTGTGTTTTCATATCAACACTGTCAGCAATAGATAAAAACAAGGCATAGCGATGATAGTTATGATGGGTGGTGGCTCGTTTGCCGTTGACTAATCTATTATAGTAGCTCACGCACAAAATAAGCTGATAAATATAAATTGAAAGAACAGAATACTGAAAGCCGCGACACTTTCATGTAATAACAAATAGCCCAAGTAGAGAAAATTTTAAGTTTTGATCTTTTGAGATTTCTATCATCAAAAGTTGAGTGAATAATTTCAATTAAGACCAAACGTAGGTCAACGCATAAATACATAGAAACAATGCCCTGTTCCTTTAAGTTCTTATAAAAATAAAACATACTTCCCAAATGACCAATTACAGACAGGGATTAAGTGCAGTGTCCAACTGATGACGCCGTAAAATTTTGGGAGAAAAAAAAAACGTTTTCGGTTTTCTACAACTAAAACAGCTATTTAAGTGATTCAAACGGCATCATAAGGCTGGGTGAAATCACTACAAAAGGATCAAAAGTGTCAAAAGGATGCCAGGGAATTGTCTTAAACTGTTTACTTTCGATTTTATCGTCTTTTACGTTCACTGGCTGGTTAACAGAGGTTATTAGTCAAATGCTTAGCTGAGAAATTTACCTGTTAGCGGTTATACAATCAGATGGAACCATTGCTTATTGTCATCTAAAAATATTTTGTTTGGATGCTTTGAAATGCCAGAAAATCGTGTTTTTGTAATATTTTCCGACTACCCGTCCAATTTGTAAGCGTGTAGCCATTTTGATCGACAGCTCTGGACAAGTCCCTAGCCTAGTGATGCCGAGTAGGGTGTCAAGGATATGTAGTAGGAAGCGCTAACATAGGTGATTACGTTTAACTGCAACTAAGAGGTGTACGTGAATTAAGTTGCATTTGAACGTTTCTATGGGCCTTCCTCAGCATTCGAGCAATATACCTGGTGGCTTCTTTCCCTGTTATCGGCAAAGTGATCAGATAAAACTGTTTGTATCTGTTGAGAGAAAGTGGCCGTCACTCGTGTAAATACGAGTTTTGGACAGGTAAAGCTGCAATATTGTTTTAACGGCACTTGGCAATTGTCAGATCAACGATAAAAAAAATCCGGTGATTACTTCAGAGCGGTATCTCTCGAAATGCCAGCTTAGCCTGTTGAAAATCTCATCAAAGGATTGCGGTGCAAACTCTAGAAACAATTATTACATCCAATGTTAGATACTTTTTTGATCAATATAAACACACAAAAACTCAAAAACATGACTTTAAGGCCATAACTTTAATTTTTACAGTTAGTACAGTAAGTATAGAATGAAAATGGCTTCATCACAGGTAGTAATAGAGGCATGGAAATATTTTACCTTATACAAAAAAAAGAGTGTATTACAGTAGTTTTGACCCCAATCTTAACATCGTTAACTTGGCGATTGCGACACGAGGTTTTTGAAATACTTGTTGACCTTCCAGCTTTGCAATCTACCACCTCCACATCCACTGTAGCTAAATTCACTCGTGTGATTCCAAAACTTTAAGTACATAAGGTTTTGATCATGTGCTAAAGATATATATGCATTGCTTTCATTGTAGAAGAAGTGGTTTTTAAACGGTTGGCATGTGATTACTGCTCATCATCCAAGTTTAAAGCTTATCTATTAAGAAATTTTAATATATAAATGAGGCCAATTTGCCCCAAAGCTAAAGAATAAAGTGGAAAATATCCAATTCCTCCCTTAGTTTTTTCTGAAATACCTCCTCAACTATTAATACATTTTACCATTGTCAAGATTTAAGCACAGCTTTTGAAGATTTTCAACATAATCAATCAGTTAAACCTATATAATAATCGATAACCTAGTTTCATATTGCTTATTTTTCCTATATTTGCCAGACCAGAACATGGCAGGATTTAGAGAAAAAAGAAATCGCCTTTTTCATCATTGCAGTCATCAGTCTTTTAGCCTTGCTTGGTTTCGCCATATACAGTGCTGTCACACAAACTGGACATGATTTCACTTTTGCACTTCTGATAATTGTGAATATCGGTAAGTAAATATGTATGAAGCATCTTTTACTTTTAGTATTGATTTGCGTTAGAAAAATTCTGATTCATAGTATTTACGTTGGGATAACAACTCTTCGTATGAAAATCAAAATTCTGCCATAAACGTATTGTAAACACAGATTATGGTAAAATCCATCTTACCACCAAAACAGCATTACCACCAAACCAGTATTATTAGATTAGATTAGCGTTGATTTCCGATTCAGGTTCCTACTGGATCCCTGACAACTTGATCGGGTAGGCTATTCCATATTTGTGTTTTACGCACAGTGAAGCTGTATTTTCTTAAGTCTATAGACTTATAATTATAATTTGGCTCTTTGAGGGAATAGCTTGAACCAATATCCTCTATTACCAAACCTATGGCTATGTGAATGACTTGACCATAATTTAATAAAGTCTCTAGTTGATTTGTCATATATCCCAGTGGCTAGTTTGTACATCTCAATCATCTCAATAACTAAGTGTTGGTAACCCAAGTTGACGTAACCTCTCTGGGTAACTATAAGGTTATTCATACTCGGTAGCTGTTTTGTAGCCCTACGCTGCACTCCTTCAATTTGAGCAATGAATTTGCTCTTGTGTGGTGCCCATGCTGAGCTTGCATAATCCAGGTGAGTACGTACTAGTTAGTGATTTGTAGAGAGGTAGGAATGTCCTAGAGTCCAAATGTTGAAATATTCTTCTGATAATTGTGAACATAGAGTTGGCCTTTTTTACATTTTTCACTAAAATGTTTTTCAAAGCTGAAATTATTATCAATCATAACTCCTAGATCCTTTTCTTCTGTGACTACTTCTAGGTTGTATTCCATAATCTTAAACTTGAAATCCTGATGTGGGTTATGTTTGCCTAGATGCATCTGTTTACATTTGTCCGGGTGAAAGCGTAACAACCAAGTTTTACTCCAGTCTGTGAGTTTATCTAAGTCCTTCTGTAGGGTATTCTTGTCACCCTCCCTATGAATAGTGTTAAATATTTTAGTATCATCTGCAAAAAGGTACACTGTAGATTCTACAATGTCAGGGAGATCGTTAATAAAAATGACAAACAATAGGGGGCCAATCACCGATCCCTGAGGGATGCCAGACGTCACGTCTCTCCATGAAGACGAAGCTCCGTTTACTGATACATGTTGAATTCTCCCCCTCAAGTTGTGCCTTGTTCATTCTAGTGTTTCCTCTCCTATGCCATATGCCTCCAGCTTCTTCAGCAGTCTCTGGTGAGGCACTGTATCAAACGCCTTTGCAATAGTTCCAGACATGAGGAAACTACCTGTCTGACAGGTCATGTCTGGCTGAAAAGCCAGAGGATCGACTATTTAAGACAAAAATAAATAATTCTTCTCCGCTTTCAGGGTTCTGTTTTCTGTATGTAGTGGGAGCGGTTCTGGGAGAACGTCCGTATGAAACCTTCATATTTGTCATTGCCAATGTCATCATCATTGTGTACGTCTGTTCCAACTTTGCCATTACATACCCAGATATTGCTAATGGGAAAGATGATGTACGCTTCACAGTTAAACTGGTAAGGGTTTGCCACCATTCACATAGAAACAAAACCCTGACACCTATCTTTTTGAATAAACATATTAATTATATTGAAATTTCCTTTTTTTTATCAAGTAATGCTCTCTTGTTGGAAATTGAAACGTGAATTATGGTGTAATACTTAAGTGAAAAATGAACAATACTTATAATACTAATAGAATTTTCATCACATTTTGAAAGTGAGGATTATGTGCAAATTGTTGCTCAAAAACATTTTTTTGCATTAGAATACTCGAAAAAATTAATAATCTCACCCATATTTTACTCCTTGTTATTCAGGTACGGCTCATATTCACCGTTATCCTGGTCCCGTTGAATATATATTTAGGCCTCTGGGTGTGGTACACATATTTCCAGTCAGGGAACTTGATACTCAGAACAGTTGGAGCCAGCGAGGCCTTACAGAACTCCTGCAAGACTCTGTTCTTTACGGAGGCTGCTCTCGATGTTGATGTCCAGATGGCTGTGAGTGCCCATTGATTGCATTATGCCAAATTGATATTGTTCTTTGTTTTATGATTATTATTATTATTTTTTTTTTTATTTTTTATTTATTTTTTTTTTTTTTTTGCTATATCATATAGTGGTAACATACTGTGGTAACATATAATATGTTACCACAGTAAAAGTTCAATCTCAATAATATTACCTTGAATTTAAAGTTCTATTAAATTTTTCATAATTTCATCTTATATATATGTTGTTGACTGATGGCAAAACAACATGTGGGCGGTATTCATCTGAATATGGTAATATGTAATTAACTGAAGTCAAAATGATTATTGATGAGAACTTATCAGAATTTATATTATTTATTGCAGTCTTGTTAGTCAATCAGCCACTCATTTTTTAATTAATTTATTTATTTCAGTCTAGTATGCTGTTACTCATTCTGAAGGATGGCCATACAACGGGCACGCTATGGATCTGTGTGCTGACGATAGGGTTTGCCTTCACTGTGGCTTGGTCAGTACTAGGGTATTTTGCTGTAAGTGCTTGCACACACGAACACACATACACACACACACTATAACGTATTACACTGGGAAACTTTGTGGATGGTGTACCACTGGGACATTTTGCTGTAAGTATACATGCATGCACACACAGATGCACATGCACACGCACAGTCAGGGCTTGAAATAGCCCCTTGCCCGCTTGCCAACTTGTCAATTTGAACCGTAGGGCAAGCGTAATGTGCACCCATTCTGCCCAACTGGGCAAGTGATCCCAAAACCCGTTTCTGTAAAAATCAATATCACACCTGCTGTCCATTTGAAGTGGAATAGTGCACAGGGTAGGGGGAGAGGCCTATAATAATAATAATAATAATAATAATAATAATAATAATAATAATAATTTATTGTCATATATATACAAGTATAAAATGAAAATTGGTATGATCTGTCGATAAAATGTGATACAGTGGAATTATTAAAATACATTTTGTTCATTAAAAATACGTACTGCTGATGGATAAAAACTATTTTAGTGCGCGTGGAGGTTGCTTTTAATGACCGTAGTCGGCTTGTTGACATATGCATAAGTAGGCTATTCGCTGGGTGACCAGGGTCACCCGTGATTGACTTCACTTTCTTGAGCACTCGTCTCATATACAAACATTCAATAGACGGCAAGTCCCTACCTACAATGCGCTTGGCAGTTTTTACTACGCGATTGAGGAGATTCTTGTCCTCTGCTGTAGCACTACCGTACCAGACGGTGAAAGATTGTGTTAGTACACTCTCAATCACCGCCCGGTAAAATTTTGCCAGCAGTTCTTGGTTCACAAAGAATGACCTCAATCGCCGTAGAAAGTAAAGTCTTTGCTGAGCTTTACAGACAATATCATCTATGTTAATGTGCCATTTAAGATCATCAGATACATGTATGCCAAGAAATTTGAAATGTCTGACTTTTTCAACCTCAGAACCATTCAGCATAAGATGGCTAATTTCTGTTGGGTTTTTCCTAAAATCTACAATAATTTCTTTTGTCTTTTTAACATTAGCTCGAGGTCGTTTTCAGAGCACCATGAAACAAGGGCCGAAACTTGATTTCGATAGTCAGACTCGGAAGTGCTAATAAGGCCAGCGCAGGTGGTATCATCCGCAAACTTAACAATCAAACAATTGGGATACGAAGCAACACAGTCGGATGTAAACTGAATACACTGTATAAGAGAGGCGAGATGACGCAGCCCTGAGGCGTGCCAGTATTTATCTCTACAGTCTTGGAAAAGTTATTGCCGACTTTGACCTGTTGAGTACGATTAATTAAGAAATTAAAAATCCAATTACTGAGTGATGTACTAAAATGGAGAGAGTTAATAAGTTTTTCGTGAAGTTTAAAAGGCGATATCGTGTTTAAAGCAGAGCTATAGTCAATAAAAAGTAGTCGTGCATAGTTAGGGATTTTACGATCCAAAAAAGTAAGAACATTATGTAAAGTAATAGCAACAGCATCCTCAGTCGACCTGTTCTTACGATATGCAAATTGAAAAGGGTCGAAGGACGTCGGTAATTTTGATTTCACATGTTGCAGAACAAATTTCTCAAGCACCTTCATGGAAGTTAGAGCTACAGGCCTATAGTCATTAAGACAGGTAACAGGTGTGCGCTTTGGAACAGGTATTATCACAGATTGTTTAAATATTTTTGGCACATAACTAGAGCGTAAAGACCAATTGTAGATGTTGCACAGTACACCAGAGAGCTCATCGGCACTTAATTTCATCTGCCTAGGTGTGATCCCATCCAGACCTGCCGCTTTCTTAACTTTCAATCTAGTAAGACCAAGCCGGGTGTCTTCTACTGACAACTGGAAGGGTGCTTCTTCGTCTCGGGCACAGATGATAGGAGATTTATATTTGGTCTGTCGAAGCGGGCGTAGAATTCATTCAACTTGTCTGGTAGGCTGGTGTCATCCGTGGGTGAGAGTTTGATTTTAGGTTTGTAGCCGGTGATTTTGTTCACTCCCTGCCAGAGCTCACTAGAATTACAGCTGGAGATGTCTGCCTCAAGTTTATCTCTATACCGCAACTTAGTGCGTTTGATGGCCCGGCGCAGGTCATATTTTGACCGCTTGATAGCGTCCAAATTGCCCAATCTGAATGCTTCCTGTCTGGCAACAAGTTGTTTATGTACTGAGGAACAAAACCAAGGTTTGTTGTTCGGATATGATGTAACAGTTTTACTCGGAATGCATAATTCCTCGCAGAATTTTATGTAGCTCATTGTCACTTCAGCACATTCATCAAGATCAGCTGAATCCCGGAGAAATAAGTCCCAGTCGGTGCATGCAAAACAGCCACGAAGTCGTTCTATTGCGTCCTCACTAAACTGATGAATTACTCTACGTACCGGTTTTTCACGCTTCATCTGTTGTTTGTATGCTGGGACGAGATGCATCATGTTGTGGTCTGACTTATCCAATGGTGGTCGTTTCAGTGATTTATAAGCACCCCTGATTGTTGTGTAACAGTGGTATAATATTTTATCTTTCCTAGTATGGCACGATACTTGTTGAAAATACTTACAATATTTGCAGATGATATACCTGATGGTTAACTACTTGATCTGACAATTTATGAAAAGAACACTGGAGACCTCATTACTGTTAGTTAGTAATGGTTACCTACTGTGTTGCTTTCTTAAAAGAAAAAAAAAGAAAAATTGTATCTACCAAATTATTTTCAGTAGCTTGTTCTTGCAGTGCCCCTCTCAGGCTCAAATTGAGAAAATTAAGAGTGCACAAAAGTTCTGTCATATTCTGAAAGAGTCAGCAAGGCCAGTTTTTCTTTTAGATATCCTTTAATTTGGAATGTAACAAAATGAAATAAACACAATGAAAGTATCTTGTAATTTGTCTAGTTTATCTTGAAATAATTACATACATTTTTCGTTTTGCATGAAAACATTTCCATAGAAAGAAATCAATTGATTATATCTTAATGTGGGGCAAGTGAAATCTTTGAGGGGCAAGTGAAAATTGAGCCATACTTGCCCACTGGGCGAGTGAGTCTGAAATTGAATTTCTAGGCCTGACAGTTGTGTTTTACACTTGTCTTACACTGTAGATATGTGTAATATCAACAGGGTTTTCTTTTACTATGGGCTGGATTCCACTGGGATGTTTTGCTATACTAGTAAATGAACATACTAATGCAAACCTATGAACATTCAGAGAGATATTATACTGTAAGGGTGCGTTCCCAGAGATTTAGATCGACCTAACTCCCTGGGGGTTCACGCTAAATTGCAGTCAGCCGAGCGCGCACCATAGTTAATTACCCCCTTTCAGCTTTTAGTAGGCGGGACAGACACTTAAGCCAGCTAAGCTGACAGTAATCTAGTGAGACTCCCCGAAGGGATTGATCGATCTAAAATCTATTGGAATGGGGTCTAAGGAGAGAAGAGGGTGCACATGTACACCATTGCTATAATCACCCACATATGTACTAGTAGGGCCTAGGGATAATTTTGCAGTGCATCTCCATTACTGCCATAAATGTACTATTTTTGGTGTATTATAGTTGATTTATTTATATCCTTATCTTCGTTTTAGATGAGATATGAAAACAAGATTCTAACATTCATTTTCTTCGCGACGTCTGTATTTGAACCAGGCTACATTATTTTCAAAGTATACCAGGTATGTAAATGCAGAGTGTGTGTGTGTGTGTGTGTGTGTGTGTGTGTGTGTGTGCGGGTTGGGACACATATGTCCCCTTGGTGCCCCTTTCAAAAATTTAAAGTTAAATGTGGTAATTTTTTAATCCCACTCCATTGGTAAAATCATTGGTAAAATCATGAATTGAGTTTGTTACCAATACTGAAGTTATTTTCAACCAGTAACTAAAATGGCAGAAATAGATACAATTAATGAATTTGCTTTACTTAAGTTTGGAAAGCATGAATCTATAAAATGTCTTTAAAATGTTGCATGAGTCTATTAAATGTCTTCAAAAAGTAACTGTCCACAGTTTGCAAGTCAGCATCATTATGGTTGCTAAGTGACCCCAACCGATGTTGACAGTTGGCATGACAACTCCACCCAGCCACTCCCCTTTCCTTACTTTTGATAGGCTATACTTAAATTTATACTACTTCAAGGTGTTGATTTTGTCACGTAACATGCTGCAAAACATTTTTTTCCTTTTCTCTGTGTAATCTAAACAAGCAAACAAAAAAGAAATATTAAAATATTTGTTTTGTTTATTTAAGGCAGCTACAGATGTGGCTGATGAAAATCAAGAACCAGACACCAGTATAGACGCAGTGACATTCGTAGGCGCAGGCTTGGCGCTGATAGTGCGCGTCATTTTGCTGGTCTTCTGTTACAAAGTGTACAGTAATTATGGAGTTGGGCTCAAAGAAAAAGGTAACAAATGAAAGAATGTTCTAGGCAACTAGCTCCAACTTAAGATATCTTTGATATATATTTAGTGTTTAAGTTGAGTGGATGTGTGTGTGTGTGTGTGTGTGTGTGTGTGACTCCATCCCCCACCTTTTTACACACTCATATGTTATGGTATATTACCAGTTAGAAATATGCAACTCAATAAAATAAAGATATTTGTCAGCGTACCACCTCACACATGTTGCTATAGTATAAAGTTGTCTGATTGATAGATGCCATTTTTTTAATTGTGTGATTGATAGGTGCCAGATTGAAGTTGAGATTAGGTGTACACAACACCATATTCGGTGGCACACCATTAGTGATAAACCACACTAAATTGTATTTTTATTTAATAACATTTAAACTAAAAAACCCACAGGATATAAAACCACTAAGGAAGTACAGTATAACAGCATTGTCATGTTTATATAGAATAAATACTTTTATTTGAAGGGGCAGTATACAGGAGTTTCATTATTATAGATACAACTATTTGAATATGAAAGCTTGACAGAGACACATAATTCCTTGAACTAATCGAATGGCCTTGAAATTTGGTTTGAAATGACCACCTCTGGATATTAATCGTATTGGTTCGACCCCGCCCTGGGACATACCAGTCCTTAATGAATGGTGCTTGCTTCCTCCCTCCTTGTCTACTGCTCCTACCATAATTTGCTTATGATTATATAATTTGTGTGCAATCCTGTATACAGTCTCCTTAGTCATTGATTGTGGCTTCTTTTGTGGTTTCTAAACTAACATGTTAATGGGCTCATGTTGTTGTATTTTCAGTATTTATAAAGCCCTTTTGGCGCTCCCCTTACCCCCCTTTGAACCCTCGGGAGAGTACTAAGACGTACCATTGCCTCAAACTAGCCACTGAGTCGTCACCAGAGACACAAGGTGCTTACTAACAAGATAGTCACTTGTGTATGGATATTGCGTTAAGTTCTGCTCATACCATAACTACTTTAGATTGGATACCTGACGTGCCATAGTCTGGTTGTACCCTCTACCAGGGCGACAGATTGATTTTCCACAGATATTCACAGATATGTCTCTAGATAAATAGATGGTCATTTTGGTCTGTTGCCAAGCTTTTTTTTTTTTCTTGTGCTCATGTGAAATCTTTGCATATAACTGCAAATGTTTATTTTGATTGTATGGAATTATTTTACAGTTAATTTTATCCAAGCTCAATTATCATTATTATTATCAATCTCCATATATTTTAGAAATCCAGGTCTTTTTTCAGATTCTGAAAGAATTACCTTTTCAGAGTTTCCATGGACTTTTTTGCTGTACAATTACTATTATTTGATATTATTTTTACAGTATTATAAGGCAAATCTGTAAACATGTAATAGTAAAAAAAATCTTGCAAGAGACCTAATACCTATATTAATATATGATATATTACGTATGTTACTGTTTTGTTCTAATCTCTTAATTTGATTTTAATATCAAGAAGAAATTCTCATCAATTTTAAGATATTAGGAATTTGTTGTTAATATTTGGTGTTTTATGTTTGATGGGAAATCTTTTCGGGATCATTTAAGATCTCATTTATATGACTTTACAAAGATGTATTATATTTAATATAATTTCTTTAATTACAAAATATTTTAATGCAATTATGGGTAAGTGTGTAAGAAAAGGTGCTGCTGAAATTGTTACATTGTTCAATATTCAAGACAGTTTGTGCAATGCAATATTTTATGATCTTGATTTCTTTGTATGTGACTGGTTCTTGCTACACAATGTGTATTCTTTTTCATCATAATAAGTAATAGAATTAGTTTAAGAATCAAGTAAAATTTTTAAAAAAATGTGTGCTGCAAAATTTTCTCAAATCTGTGCTAGTTATAGTTACTGTAGTTAGTTATGATTTTTAGTGATAGATCCAGTAAATTGTTTTGTCCATATGGTTAGTTGGAAAACAAAGTTGCTGTCATGTTAATTTTATTCTGTCAGATTTTCAGATTTATATGTGAAGTCATTTTGTTAAAAATTAAGTGGTATGTCATACTATACAATTTTATGTTTGTCAGAAAGCATGTTCACAAAATGCAAAGATGTGTAGTTATATGGCTGTACATGTATCTATACATATATACTTATAGCTGTGTCATAAAATTACATATTCCCAATGCAATCTTGAAATCCTTGCCTTTAGATGTGATATATGAATATAGTTCATATAAATGAATAATAAACATTTTGAACATTTAACCTGTTTAGTGG